CTTCAGTGTGTTTACTAAAAGTATCGGTGATCACCACTCGGAGAGCTCTGATGGTCTTNTGATGAGTAGTCTGTCGGCAACATCAGAACCCCAAAAAGTTCGTCTGTTTACCTATGAGATTAGCGAACATATCAATCAGTTTGACTACTTCAGTTGCGGGGGGATATGCTACTCCTCCCAATCGTAATGAAGAGCCTGTTGTTGTACTGTCGAGGTAGAGAACGTTAGATAAAGAGAGACGCTGACTGAAACGTGAGCATGGGCTGCGCAACAGCAGACGGGAGAAAGAAAGAAAGATGAACGGTGTGCATATGAGTGAATGAAACAAACATACGAAAGCTTCATTATGCAAGCTATGCAACAAAAAAAAAGGGAAATTTCGAAAAAAAAATTGAGTTTCAAATTTTCCAGGTACCATCTCTCAGACAATCTGCGATGGCGAAGCTGCTGAATTGAGTTGTCCACCTGGAAAAGTTATCTCGATCGTTCTTGGTAACTACGGAAGATTCTCTGTCGCAGTGTGCCTCCCAGACAGTGATATAGTACCCGAAAACACCATCTGCCAGAATCCCAAAACCCAGTCAATATTGGAAAAGAAGTAAGTTTTGCTATTTTTACTATTCAGAGAAGCAGTCTAGCGAACTCTAGCTGACCTAACTAACATATTCAACGAGTTATGAATAGGTGCAAGCGCATTTGTAATAGCTTACTCACACTTTCACGACTATCAATTGTTATATTTGTCGGTGGGGGCTCTCTTGTTCGGAATACGATGAACATATGTTTACTTGACGAAAAGCTGAGAGACCGCAACAAATATCCGTATAGTTTCATGCTCCAGTACACCCTTCTTCTTATCAATGTAACTGTACAAAGACCTTGGCATAAGATTTATCCCGGTAGCAGATTAATAATTCATTGATGAATATACTAATTGAACATCCGGCCATATAATAATTCAAATAGGCACATCCTAGGTGAGCAGTCACAGACAATACCGCTATAAAATGATGATGATATTGCCTTAGTTGTCGAACAAGGTCGTTTGTCATTGCCCCGTTTTTTTCACCAATCTAAGCATTACTGTCGAAGAGAACATTCATTAGCCGACCTCACTCTGACTACCACCACCACCAGTTATTCTACCATTTTCTACCGGGAGATCACGCCGGACGCCGCACGAAAAAGTGCCTTCTTGTCGAAACGCATCATTTCACACTATCAAACGACTGCCCCTTTCCTCTCATTTTTTGAATGAATTGAGGCCGGGCGCTGACTGCTTTCTTCGGTGCAGCTGTCTCGAATCTGTCTTCGTTCGTGTTGATGTAGAAGAAAAAGAGAAGATGAAGAATAGTAAGAAGGAGGGACTACCGAGAAAACGGAAATGACTCTCGCGCCTTTCTACTGATGCTTTTCCTTATTCTTCTCCTCAGAAGAAGCAGTTTTGAGTTTTAAATTCGGGAATTCGAGACTATAGCACGGAAAGGATGGAGCACTATTAGATTGATGTCCAATAGAAATTTGAAGAAGGATTCTGTTTGAAATCGAGATACACAGCACCATATGGTGTTGTGGATCCGCGGAGCATCCAAAACAAGGATTCAAGTAATTTTTATGCTTCGGATTTTCATGGATCATCATCATCATTTACCAATTAGAATGTGTTCCAATTGTTTGTGTCTTTGCGATAGACAGCAGGAGGCTTTGAAATGGTTTGTAGATGAGAGATGATGAGACGACAGTTGTGTAAATAAAAGCAGCAGTCAATTAGCTGCGCAAACTACCTTGAAACTGCCATCTCAAGAAGCTCCATTTTCGCAACTAAGTTGTATTCCTCAACGGGGTCAACTTGATAGTAATGTCCCAAATTGACGAAATTGGAAATCGAAGAAACAGCTGCATTCCATTTTAGAGAATTCGTTGCGCGAAATGGTGCTCAGTGTACCGTATGTTGAACACATGTTGTTGCCATGTTTTTGCTTGTTCCTATCTGCTACCAGCCCATAAATTTCCACCATTAATTGCTGCTGTACAATTAACTCTCTTTTGGAGCATGAAATAGTGGAAAAACAGAGAGCCCGTCGAGGTGTCAAATTGATGGCTTATGCTCTCTTCTCCTGAACAATCTTGACGAACCGACTAGTCTTCCAATAACAACCAAAACCCATCGTCCTTTTCCATCAATTTGAAAAGAAAAATGAGCGAATTTTGCGGGGCATTCAGAGAGGCACCATCTCCAGAGATGGGTAGTTTAATTAACACGTTTTCCTGTTTTTTGATGGGTAGAGATGCGGGAAGAAGTAAGGGGCGAAGAGCCATGCCCTGGTGTGAAGAAAAAAGGATTATGTCGGCGTCACGCACAAGAAGAAGAGGGATTATGGATGGAAGGCTGTGGAGAGCCCGGGGGCAGACGGCTGCCGACTTCTTGATGATTCGCATCAGTGGCGATAAGTAATGGGACCACAGGGCCACTTTTCTCCATCTTGATGCTCGGAAAGAACAAGTCAGGAAAAAGGGAAAACCGGCTGATTTGCATAAACAGAGTGCCTTTTGTGTTTTACCGCAAAAATGAGCAGTCAGTAGATAGATGAGGTTCTCAGCAATCAGAATGGAATAGATGTTAATTGAGAAAGTTGAGGGCGGCAGTTATTGTTATAGATTGTTCATTGACCCATGTGACGGTAAGAAAAACTCCTCATCTTGTTGTTCCGCCGAGACAATGTCTTCACGGCGGCGTCGTTTGCTTCTCCATTCCATTGACCGGATGAGATGTTTCTAATTTGCCGCCTCGCCGAAACTTCTTGGAACAATAGAGTTTGCTGAAATTTGATCCAATACCTTATAAGATGTATCAACCAAGAGTTTCTTGTTATTATTACTGGTGGTACTGTACAATCAATGAATTTCACAGTTTCGCAATAGACTCTTGTCACCTTAGTTGGTTACAACTTGCACAACTTGGAACGTTCCACTAAACGGTCTTAATTGCTTTGGTCCTTTGTTACAAAAAAAAGGGGATACATGGTTTCTCTCATATTTCATCGTCGTTTATTGCGTGAGTCTGTCGGTCGGATTTCGACAACGAATTGATGGAGAGGAGAAGAACGTCTGTATCGTGAAGCCTATGATTAAAAAGAACGAATTGATGATGGGTCAGAGTCAGTCGTTCGTTAGATGTATGTGGTCGCCCAGCATACACGTTTTATGTGACATCTTGTACTTGCATTGTTGTCGGGCCGCCTGGGGAGAAGAAGGGCCTTGAAAACAAATAAGTTTCCGTAATTCGGTATTGTATGAATCTCTGTTTGTGCTGAAGAGAGTAAACGCCGGGTTTTCTCTCCTGGTGAAAAGTCTTGACCGATTTCGAAAAGAAGACACCATAGGGACCGCCCGTAGCTTTTTGATTGATTGCCTCCTGATATAGTATGCGAGAAGATGGCCTCTCGCCGTATGGGTACTGAATGATTTGTGACGCGAGCACGTGCGGACAGCCCTTTTCGGTACTGCCGACTGTTTTGATCTCCGTTGGGAGTTGCGCAAAACAAGATAGAGTGTTCCATCTCTCCGGAAGAACCGTGCACATGGATGAATTCCGACACCCGTTCTTTAATTTGCATTCTATTGGAAACATTAATTTAGCAGGTGGCGCGGTTGTCAAAATAGGATAACTTTTAGTTATTCTTAGCTTGTCGTTGCGCAAGACCGTATTAGCGAGATTAATCCGGTTCAAACCGAAATTGGTGGTTAAGAAACAGATGTGCGAAGAAACTGAGAAAGCTTCTTCAAGGGTAGCATTTATAAGATTACAGTGGTTTGACCTAGGGTAACCGTAGCATCGAATTATGCAATAATTGCAAGGTTGTCTCTCTCTCCAGATGTAACGGAAAGCAGACGTGTCGTTTCTTCGTTGACACATTCTTGTTTGACGACGCGTGCCCGACGATGAGCAAGTATCTAGAAGTACAACACGAATGCCATGAAGGTAGAAGAGATAAATATCGTTTCGTGTGTTGAAAATGTTGCTGTGGGAGTGATTAGAAGTGATTGAATAGAGACCTAAATATTTCAGTTTTGATTTGAATTGGTGTGATAACTATATATTGTCAGTTTGGTTTGTACAATGTGTTTGCCCATTTCAGATGCAATGGAAACTCCAACTGCGATTTCAATGTTGATAAGAAGACGTTCAATGAAGATCCGTGCCCCAATACGCCAAAGTATCTGGAAGTGAAGTACAATTGTGTTGTTCCTGGTCAGTTGCATGAATTAGGTGTTATTTATCTTTGGTTTTTTTTTTTTGATTGAAATTATAGTGTCTAATCCGTTTTTCTATCAAAGTTCAATTTTTCAGCTACCACTACGACACCGACTACAACGACAACAACTACTGCTAGAGATATTAGTTCGATATTTAACCTAGAAGTAGAAGAGACTCAGAAGGTTAGTGAGAAGTCGGGGTTGACCCATTGTGATGGGTGGGATTACTATGAGTTATGAATGCACCCTCATTGTTATGGAAATTTTTCAGGATGCCCTCAACTCGGACGATAGTACAAAAACAAAAAAGAAGGATGTGATTTGTTCGGCCACAAACAGAAGAGGTGTGAACTGGCAGAACACGAAAGCCGGTACAAGATCTACTGCACCATGTCCTGAAGGATCAAACGGAAAACAGTTGTGGGATTGTTCAGTGGACGGACAATGGGCGACTGAAAATCCGAACAGTGCCGGGTGCGAGAGCGATTGGGTTTCCGCGAAAAGCAGTTTTTTATCTCAAGTCATCAATGCTGAAGATGCTTCTGGAGTACCCGAGTTTCTGAGAAAACTAGTTTCTGAAACAAGACGCCCGATGGTTGGAGGTGATTTGCCGAAGGTTCTACATCTCCTCGAAAGAACTGTGAATGTGATAGCTGAGGAAAGTTGGGCTTATCAACACTTGCCACTTTCGAACAAAGGCCTGGTCGAAGTCATGAACCACGTTCTTCGGAATCAAGAAATCTGGGGAAGCTGGGATGTTCTAAAGCGAAAGGAGTACGTATCCAGATTCATCAAAGCGACTGAGAAGGCTATGATAGCATCAGCAAAAGGAATGCAGTCATCTGCAGAGTCGAATGTGATCGTGCAACCAGCAATAACTGTAGAGATGTCCCACAAAATCAAAATCTCATCGCAACCAATGGATTACATTTTGTTCCCATCAGAAGCTTTGTGGAATGGTCTAAACGTGGATAGTGTGAATATTCCCAGAGAAGCTATACTGAAAGTCAGTCAAGACGAAACACAAGTATTCTTTTCTTCCTTCGACAATATTGGACATCAGATGACTCCACTTGATGTCACCGTTCCAATCACTGGGACTGACAAAACAGAAGTTCGGAAACGTCGAGTTGTTTCGAGAATCGTAGGAGCGACGCTGCTTGCAAATGGCAAAGAGACTCAGGTGGAGAAATTGGAGAAGCCAGTCAGGATCGCCTTCTATCACAAGGAATCTGCTGTTCGTCACATGAGCAGCCCAACGTGTGTTTGGTGGAATCATCACGAACTGAAATGGAACCCATCTGGATGTCGTCTATTCTCGCATAACAAGACGATGACTTCTTGCGAGTGCACTCATCTGACTCATTTCGCAGTGCTCATGGATGTTCGAGGTCATGAGTTGAGTGAAATCGATGAGACATTGCTCACTTTATTGACCTACGTCGGATGTATCATATCCATCGCCTGTCTGTTGCTTACATTTTTCGCCTACTTGATTTTCAGCAGAAACGGAGGAGATAGGTTTGTAAACTTTGAAAAAGTTTCATATTTTAAAAGTTTTTTTTCAGAGTTTTCATTCATCAAAATCTTTGTCTATCACTCGCTTTTGCCGAAATGACATTCCTTTTTGGAATCTCGCGAACAGACGATTCAGTACAATGTGGAATTATCGCAGCGGTTCTAATGTACATGTTTCTCGCCGCACTGACATGGATGCTTTTGGAAGGATACCACATACACCGAATGCTGACTGAAGTGTTCCCATCAGATCCACGACGTGTTACATATCTCCTTTTTGGATATATCCCTCCCGCAATCATCACTCTTTCTGCCTATATGTACAACTCGAATGGATTCGGAACTCAACATTATTGCTGGCTAACGACACAAAACAACTTCATCTGGTTTTTCGCTGGCCCAGCTTGTTTCATTCTTTGTGCGAACACTCTCATTCTTTTCAAAACTCTGTGTACTGTATACCAACACACTAGTGGAGGGTATCTTCCATGTCGCCACGATGTCGATTCGGGAAGATCTATTCGCAATTGGATCAAAGGATCACTGGCTTTGGCAAGCTTGTTGGGTGTTACTTGGTTGTTGGGACTGTTTTGGATCGACGACTCAACATCTATTGTGATGGCGTATGCGTTCACTATTTCCAATTCATTGCAAGGACTATTCATCTTCTTGTTCCACGTATTATTTGCTGAAAAAATGCGCAAAGACTTCGGACACTGGATGTGCCGGCGTGGATGTGGAGGATCGAGCAACTCGTCACCTAATCATAAACGTCACAATGCTCAGCGAGATTTGATGTCACCTGGAATGAACAGTTCTACGGGTAGCGAATTCCTGGTAAGTTCACTTTCACATTGTGTTTTATTATACTGTAGCTGTACAAATGTCTTTTTCCTTCTGTCAAATTGTCGATTTTGTCATTAGAAAAAACGAGTTGGTATAACGAAAAAAGCCGATTACTCGCCAGTTGCTGTGGCGAACAAGAGAAACCGTGAGACTTGTGTGAAGCTAATCGATTGATTCATATCTCTATACCTATCGGTGACCCATTTGATCTAGAACTAACTGATATAACGATTTCTCTCTTTCATGTCTAAAATGTCTAGTGTCTTCCTAATAACTGTGTGTAATTGTTTGAACGATGAAGGAAACTAATATGCTTCATTTTCAGTACAACACGAACGACAAGTACCTGAGCAGCTCGGATACTACGAATCGATTGGCATTTAATAGAATGCCTCACCCTAATCAAATGTCTGTATACCAACAACATCCGCATCATCAAATTTATGATCAACAACCAGGTAAGTATTTAAAAGAAGTGAGACACATAAGTTGTGTCAAGGATCCTAAATTCCAAATTACGAGGTGACTCATTTCGATGTTCTTCTTCCAGGAACCTATGATTATGCAACTATTGCTTATGGAGACATGATGCCTGGACATCGTATTGCAGCTCCGCCGGCTTACCAACGTCTCGCTGTTGCCGAAGGACGTTATGGAAGCCAACATCAGATTTATCAAGGCTGGCATCATCGTCCACCTCCAGAATTCTCGCCCCCTCCACCGCCACCAAGTGCTCCTTCTATTCCACGTCAGTATGGAACGACTGGTTCCAGTGGTCGACGTCCCCCAAGCTCAAAAATGAGTGACGATTCTGCTTATTCCGATGGGTCATCATCAATGTTGACGACCGAAGTGACGCCACAAGGACAAACGGTGCTTCGAATCGATCTGAATAAGCCGAGCATGTACTGTCAGGATTTATAGTCTCCCTCTCTTTTTCTATTTTCTCATAATGCGTGTATATTCTTGTAATACCGGTAAGCTATTAGTTATAGGTGCCCTCTTTTTCTCCAAAAAATCCCTCTCATTTGACTCGGGTATCTCCCGTTGTGACATTTCTTCGTTCTCCCTTGATCCTTTCTTTGATCCCTTTTTGAGCCATGTCAGGATTTACCTCTTTTCCATGAGCTTTACGCCGACGCTTTCAAAGAATTCATCTACTACTGGTTTAATAAGAAAAATTGTAATAATTTGTTTCATGATGTTCGTGTTTCTCTCTCGTTTTTTTTTGTTTCCTCGAACTCTGATCTTCTGGAATCAACTCCAGAAGTCAACCAATAATTCTCTTTCAATAGATCCCGTTGTGCTCATTCTCGCCGGTAGCCGAACTTCGATTTAGAGATTTCTGTACTTTATTTTTTTCTTCTGTTTTTATCATGCATTTTATAATTTCTTATGATGCGATTCAGATGTCAGTTTTCAAAAAACACATCTGAATTGTTCGATTATTGTCGTAATAAATTGATTCAATTATTCTTTTGTTTATTTCGGATAATCCCTCTCTAATCCTTCTTATCCTGAATAATTTCCAAATCCTTCCCCGCATTCCACCAAATGCTCTTTTCTGCAAAATGCAAGGATCAAATTTGACGTCTTCTTTGCATTCTAAATGGTCCCTCCTCCCACTTCCAACCACTCCATTTTCTTCCTTCCATCGGAAATAGAATCTTCTCGGAGTCCTTCCTCCGAAGATCGACGTCATCGCCGTTTTCTTTTCGGGTGCAAGATTTATTTTCTGCCTTTTCATTTATTTTTTTCTTTTTATGTCAGAAGAAATATCAGAATGGATATTTTCGGTTTATTCTCCATTCGCTTTTCCCCCTTTTCAGCTCAACTCAGCAAAAATAGAAAATATTTCTTGTTTCCATTGTTCCTACGTTTTATGCTCCCCTCCTTTTTCGAGTTATCTCAAACTCAAATCCGAAAGTTTCGAGTTTTGAGAATCAACATCTTTTTTCTCAAAATCACGGGACCAATCTTTGAAAAATCCTTTTTCCGACTCAAGAATAGTTGTTAATCATACCATCACAAACATTTTGTTACTTAAAATATTTCTGATATCTTGCATAAGAATCGAGATGATTGAGCTCAAAGTTGACAGTAATTTTAACAAAAACTGGATGGTTCTTTTTTTTTGAGACTTGTTGAGAGTTGAGACCATTCGAGACCGTTTGGACCATTTGGAATATTTGAAAGAGTTGAGACGATTTGGCAAAAAAACTCAATTATTAAAGGATTTATAGAATAACGCTCAGGGTTGTTTAGGTGACGAATGTCGTATGACTCTTAAATGGTTCATCGATTATAGAATTTTAAATTTTTCACATATTGCCCAGCTCTCCCTTTCTCTTGAACCTTCGAACTTCTCAACCTTCCTCCACCGGAAAAATTATTCATTTGGTCCTCCGTTTTTTCCTTTCCTATCGAAGACCAAAGGTTTTCTCTTTCATGTCTTCTGAGACGTGACTGATCGTCTTTTTCCTTTTCTTTCGGGTACATTCTGCACCTGAAAAGAAGAAGACGTGCAGAATGATGGATTCTCTCCTTGGGTGCACAAAAATATTTTTATTTTTTTCTCCAGAAGAACCCGGAAAATTTCATTCGTGTCGTTGGAAGCGATCCGCAAATAAACAGGATCATAGACACGTATGGTAGTTTCTAGTTGGATGGTTTGGACGAAAGTAAATATTTGAACGGATCAAATTGAGCCAAAATATTAGAGTTTTTCGTAGAATTCTGTTTTGGAAATCATCTATTTATATTTTTCTAGCTATTGTTCCGGAAACTTTGATATTTCAAAACGTACAAGCTCCCAAAAACAGTATGTTTCTTCTCCGGAGAGAGTTTCACCCACGTGTCTCTTTTTGTATTTGAACAACTGAAAAATGTGCAATCTATATTGTTTTCATGTCAAAACCCACACTCCGATAAATACTCTACAGATGTTGTCATGCGTTTTTACTTTTCCGTTGGTCAGCACCTTTTTTGATTTTCGAGACTCTCCGTTTTATCAGTGAACACGAAAGTGACAAATATGGCACTCAAACTATTTTGTTATGTAAATCTGTGACAGAAAATCTGCTGAAAAGACTAAAAAAGAAAAGGTTCGTGAGTTCAAACGATAACCATACGGTGTCTAGAATCTCTCGATTCCCACCTATCTCTCATCACTAAACCACACCGTAATCCGATTCGGCGCCTTTTGGCCATTTCATCATTAAAAAGTAAAGTATTTATTCAAAAGAGTTGCGTGCCCATTTCCCCTCACCATACTTGTAAAATTCCGGGCCGGCCCGCCAAAGCCCGGAGCCCGGGCCCGGCCCGGGCCTGAGGAAATTTTCAAGGCCCGGGCCCGGTAGCAAAAATTTCGTCATTTTGAGCCAAATTTTGAGCTCTCAATACAATTTTCTCTATTATTTTTCGTGTTTTTGGATTGTTTGTCTGTTTGATCAAAAAATATCAACAAAACTCGAAATAAAATTTTTGATCGAAAAAAATCACATAAGGGTCCCTTATGTGTTTTTTGAAAGGCCCGGCCCGTTACAAGTATGCCCCTCACTTTTCGGTCAACTTCCCACTTTTTCAAGGATTCTAAATATCCTGACTTGATAAACTACCAGGTAGAGGTTGCACCCGAATTCAACGATTAGTCACTGTGAGAATAGTCTGATTAGTCGGTGAAATGTCAAACATGAATTCAGTCGAACTTTGGCCCGTCCCGTCAGTTTCAAGGACTTGTCGGTACGATGTTTCCCAGTATATATTCCTGTGTTGCGGAGGTTTTTTTGAATTCTGGGAACAAGAATTGTTGTTTCCCAAGGTACCGTCTATCTGGGAACAGTTTATAATTGTTTTCGATAAGTATTGTATTTAATTTCGGACTTGTCTCACTGTCGGTTCTGGAGAAGCTGATTTATTGAAGTGAGTCAAGTTTACGGTAATCTTTTAGTCTGGAGATTTTGTGCTCAAAAACTTCTAGGTGAAGTGGAATATTCCTAAAACAATTCAACTGTGAACACTTCTATTTTACCCTCTATCCGTTATCAATAACCTTCAAAATGTAAGTTTCCAAGAATCAAGAGAACTGTCATTCTAAACTTGAAATAAATCAGTTGATAATGAGTTTGATAAGGCGCAATGCCAATCCCAAACAACATTTTGTCAAAAACCAATCAAAAAGGAAGATTTATTTCCGATAGTTTTGTGTTCTATGTTCATGTTTCTCTCTCTTTTGTTAACTGCCAATTATAAACAAAAAACTTTTTGGCGATCCCTATCTATTTCACTGATCGAACTGGTTTCATTCACAAATGAATCGTTTATTGCATCAGAATGAAGAGAATGAGTTCTTTGAATTCGAAAAAGAATGTTGAATCTATGTAGTTGGATACTGTTTGTACACTCGAAAAAGTTCATAAATCATCTGAGTATCTCCTGTTTCGTGTGTATATCTTCATCCTTCCATTTATCAAATCTCGTTTCGATTTTGATGAATTAAAAATTTCACAGAAGCGCGTCGACAACACATTTCTATTGTTGATTAGGAAAAAAAGAAGATACTTCCGTTGCCTGTTTCTTGGTTCTTTCTTGCAAATTCCAAGTTTTTTGGTGATTTGACTTTTGGTAGGTTTTCTTTTATCTTGGAGTTGAGATTTTAAAAATTATTTCTATAGGTGGTACTTAAATCTTGAAGAAGACTACAATGAGATGGTTTTTTTTTTCAGAAAACCAGAAATTCTGTGTTTTGATGCTAAAAATTAGGCGATTATTTTAATGATCTACAGTATTAACTTATATTCCAAAAACTTTTGGTTACTGTAGGTGTCCACATAACTACCGTAAAACCTGTATTAGAAGGGCCGGCTCTTATTTTTTTCAATGTACCTCTGGAGGGCCCTTCTATCACATAGACCCTTCAATTAGAGAGTCCCTTCTATTTTTCCGGTCATTTTTTTTTTTTAAATTTTCATCATAAAATTAGGTGAAATCTCTTTTAAAATTAAGGAAAACCTGTCATTTTTACCAAACTTGATCAAGTTTTTGAGCAAAAATAGTTTCAACAAATCTCCGGGATTTGGTGAAATTCAGGAATACATTTCAGTTAAAACGTAGAGAAATTTTCGTGTTAAAACAACGCATTTTAATGGGGCCCTTCTAATTCAGGTTTCATGGTTTATAGGAATTCACTGACATAAAACTGAGAAACCTTATAATGGACCATCAATGTGTTGATTTCTTGACTGAACTGGCATCTCTTGTTATTCCAAGTCGTCATTTGTAGGTAGCACAGCATTTCTGATCATTAGATAATTCAGAAGGAAGTTCTCATCAACTTCTCAGTACCACTACTGGATAACAAGGGCTTTGAAAAACATCAACAATCATTTTTGGTGTGAAGCAGCATTAGTCCAATATTCTCGTTTTCCCCTTCTCCACGCAATTAGCCCTCCACCACCGACATCTCCTTTTCCCCCTTTTCCCTTCCTTCTTCTTCCACTTTCACATATTGGCCCCATGTTTTTTACACTCGAACAACCAACTTTTATCCGTGCTTTCACTTTTACAGCCCCCAGAGAGAATGTCCTTCTTGGGAGAGGAAAAAAAAAACGAGAATAGAGCTTGTAATTTCAGCCTCCACAATAGAAAAGACTTCAATTAACTTTTTGAAAGCTTGACTTTTTTGATGAATGGAAAAGTGCTATTTCATTCTCAATGGGATGTGTCTCCGTATAAAAGAGAACTGGGCTCGCATGGTTTGGACCCACTTTTTAGATTTTTTTTTCTTTTCAATTTTGACTTTTTTCATGCGCTAGTACAGTCTTTTGAGCCTCACAGAAGACTGGATTGAAAGCTAGTCATTGAATTTTACCCCTAGAAATCAGAATGAGAAGATGATGTGGATTATTGTCTTAAATTCAGAGAATTTAGCACAAATGAAGAATCCTTACTAGACAGATTTATCCTTGCGAATCCTTTCAATTTCAAAGGATTTGTGGATCTTAGATCTCAATGAATTTGTATTTATATACGAAAGATACTAAACCATGGACCTAAAACTAGAATAGATCTGGCGAAAATTCTAATAATTGCAACCTTCATCTTTTCTAAACCATCTGATTGCAATAGATCTGATCTGACATTCCAAAGCTGCTAATTTACAAATCCCCGCCCTCACTTGCTTCCGTTCCAACATTCTTTCGAAGATTACGTCTACATTAGAAATGTGATCGTCCATTAAAAATCTATAAGGTACATTCTATTTTTTATGTTTTTTTTCTACACCACCCAACAATCCAAAATCATCGTTAATTAGGTAATTTTGTAGCTATCGTATTCTGTACCCTACATTTATATTTTTCAAAGGTTCATACCTCAATGACCAAAAAATCAAATACAGTACTCTTAATTCCAGAATTAGTTGTTTTTTTAGTTTCCAGGAGAACTCGAAAACCTCGATGTTTGGTACTTTATTGCATCCATAAACACTGCCTTTTTCGGAAAGTTTTTGTTGCAGGAAAACTGAGATCATGGGTCAACCACAGTATATAAATACAGTCGATTTTGAAGTCATGATCTACGTTTTTTTGAAGAATAGGAAGTTTTATTTCAAAAATTTCAAAACATAACTTTCAAACTAGAGATAACCAAACTTGTGTTATCAGTTGATGTCCATTAAAACATGTGTCCATTGAAAATAGGAATTTTTCAATGTCACCAAAAAATCATATTCATTCTTTGATCTAAATGTACTTCAACCTCATAAATCTTTGAAAATCAAAAATGGAAAAGGTCGTCAAATATTTGTTCATTTTATGGTCTCCTTAAAAAGGAAACGAGATGTTTGTGGTGGTTTTCACCTCATTGGAATTTCTCAAAAAACCCCATTAGAATCCTCCAACCAAATGTTTCCGGTTTTCCTAATCGCCTAATCTAATAACTCTCTTCTAATCGTGCAAAATGACGTGATGGTTCTTCCTGTCCATAAAATGTTTGACGATTTTTTGGTCAAGGTTTTTGAAAACATCAAAACATGGCTTTATCGTTTTTTGAGGACACTAATTTTGGGGCAGTTGACGAGTGGTAGGAAGTATACCGTTTTGCCAAAATAATTTAAATACCGTAAAACCTGTAAAAGAAGGGCCCCCACACTGTCAAGTTTGAACTAATTTTTCTTGGCTCCTGTGCAAGATTTAAAAAATTTGTCATCAGACAAAATTTTTGTGATATTATGATGAACAATTTATCAGCTGATCATTTTTTCATATCTTTGACAAGAACCGAGATAAATTGGTTCAAAGTTATGAGTTAGTGAGCCCTTCTATTACAGGTTTTACGGTAACTAAAAAAGATAAGTGGTCTAGTCAAGGCTACGGTAGTTCGGCATCAATCAGGTTGAGCAATGCAGCATGGCAATGGTAGCATCCATTACTGAACCAGAAAACTGCATGCAGTATACCTTAACCACATTTAAAATTCCTAAACCCATTTCACAGGAACCCAGTTCAAATTGTTGCTCATCTTATCATCAAATAAAAAAAATGAAAAAAAGAAGCTATTCAAACATTCTCCTATCTCCCGTCCCATCCTCAAAAAGCAAACATGTTTTGATTTTTTTTGAGGTTGAAAAAACCGGAAACTCAAAGTATTCCTTCTTCTTCCTCCTCCCCTCCTCCATAATTGTAGCTCATTTTTGTGGTTCTACACTTGTCTCAAAAATTTGATTGTTCTCTTTTTCCCCCCCTGTCCCTATTTTTTGAGAGCTTATGAGAAAAAAAAACAAGTTAGATACTTTGAGTAAACAGAACACTTATTTTTTGTTACTTTTTCTTTTCTTCTTTTTTATTCTTCTTCTAGTCTAGTCTCCTCACTTTCGAATTCTATTTTTTTTGTTTCTCACGGTGGGTTGAAAGTTCATTGAAAAAAAACGAGAGGGAAATGAGTCAGACTCCACTGGAACACTGGAGAATGTCATCTCATAAAACAATTCGCTTCCGATTTTTATCGGTTTTTCGTGTATAGAAAACTGGTTTGAATGGAAATAAGGAACATCATTTTTACTTCAATTTCTGCTCCCCGATTATTAGATCTCTAGGTCAGCAGCTGCTGGTCACACGGGGGATTTGCACTAATTCATCATATTTTTCTGTCTAGGAAAATTCTGGAGCGAAAAAAGTTCATCAGACTCTTTCAGAATCAATTTTACTCGCTTTCACAATTCTTTTCTTTTATTTAGAATGTTTAGATTTTCAAAAGAAATTTTCTATGGGCATTTCTCATAGCTGATCGGATAGAATTTATAAATTTTGAATGTGTATAGATCATAAATCTCTTTTCCATTTCAAAGTCTGGCATACGAAACCTGGGAAGTTCCCCAGCGAACCCTAGTTTCAATGGCTAGCGACTACTGTTCCTCATAAAACGAAAGTTTCACATAATAGTTGAATTGTTTAGAGGTTTTTCTCTTCTTTCAAAAAAAAATGAAAAAAGTCAGTCTTCATCTCCCTGGACTAGTTCAAAAATCACCAGGTCACACGGGGATTGCTCCGCCCTCCCACCATCCGTCAAAAAACGTCTTCTGGAACTTTCCATTTCGTATAGCAAAGTCCCGTCTTGCTAAAATTTTAATTAATTTTTTGTGTTTCAATGTACGCCCTCCCACACATCAAATACAAAATTATTTTGCAAGTGCACACATGTTGTTTGAACAACCTTTTTTACAAAATAATTTTTCAAATTCCGGTGCATAGAACATTCGAAAGTTTTTAATAAAACCTATAGAAGATGATGATGTCGTGGAGAATCTATAAATAATTCTGACCCCTTTCTTATTCTAGCCTCAGGGGTCTTGTGCCAGCTAGTGCAAGTGTCTAAATTGGGTCAACTTCCGAGAGGAGATGAGTCATAGAAGCACTCGGGGAAACTCCTTTTCTTCCGAGACCTAGTTCATTTCCTTTCTCAAAGATTGCTCGTTTTTTCGCAACGTTTTTTATTGTTTGAACTTGCGAGAGAGAGAGAGAGAGAGAGAGAGAGAGAGAATGCGGAGGAGCCAAGGTGTTATAATTCCTTTCTCTTTGAAGACAATACCTTATTTAAAAAATTTTTTTTCTTCTCTTGCGGCAATTTTTCTACACCTCCGGAAATGTCTTTTCGTACGTAGCAATTATTCATATCCTTCCCCTCGCAACCTTTCCAAGTGCTCTTGGCTCCAGGCTCCTCTTCTCTATGTCCAGTGGTCAGTGGCCAAAATCGGCATTTCTATTCAGAGGGGCTCCCATCCAATGCAATTACCCACCCTCTACTTTTTTTTTGAGAGAAAGCACAACCATTTTTTCTTCTTCCAACCTCTGAAGCTCTAATTATATACCCAGGAATTTCCCTTTTCCCTTTTTTCCCTTTCATAGAAATATTTTTTTTTCTTCTTTTCCCGTTTCAACCAAAGTCGCTTCCGATGAATAGCGTACTTAAGATTCCTCGGATAATTTGACCAATAAGCTTCTTTCCCCCCATTGGCTTAGTTATTTCATATAGCTTTCCTTCCGTGTACCTGTTTTTGAAAACAACTAGTCTAGCCTATTCCTATTTTTTTAATGAACAGAGAAAAATGAAAAAGAAAACAGCGATATCTAGTCTAGCCTGATTACCTCGACAAAGCCGTTTTAATCTACTCAAAAATGTTTCCCACGGTATTGCTATTCTTCCCCCATTACTTTGAAAATCATTGTATGAGTAATTGTTTGGAACTATACAAATTGCAACGATGCGTCATCTTTCTCTTTGTTCCAATTTACAGTTTTTCTACTTTTCGTATTCTAGCTTTTTGATCTGAAAGTTCTTTGATATCAAATTCTTGGAATCACGCCATGTTGGAATCTTTAATCCATCTTTCCTCGATTTCCGACATCCTATTGAACTGGAATTTATAGCTAGAAAACGAAAAAAAGAAAAAGAAAACATTTAGCTACGTTTTGCTGTATTAGTCGAAAATGTGAGTAATTTTCCGATTTCGAAATCCAGTGTTCTCATGAAAACTGCAATTTGGGGTATATTTACAATCATAACGAATCTACGAATCTCTGATGAAATCTGCGATAATATTTGTTTTTTAATGACTTCTCTGCACCTGCAGAATGTCCTTCGGATGTCCTTAAAGGTGACGGATTCGAACTTGCACTGTTTCTCCACCCAAATTTCCATCTCTCCCATGAGACAATTGTTCTTTTTGGTCCTCGAAAAACCGCTTCTATCTGTTCGAAACGTACTCTTTCTTTTTTTTTTTGCTTCTTCTCCGTTCCCTTTCACCGTCTATGTCTCCCAAGCCTTCTCTCTATCATCTGATGTTTTCAAGTCCTTGCTCCGGCGTCAGCTCTTGACACTATTCTCTTTTTTTTCCTCGATTAATCCAGTTGCTTCTGTTCCAGGGAAACCTTCTTCCCGCCTTCTTCAGTTTTTTTTCCTGATAACGCCAGAAACGTTCTTATCATTTCCAGTCAGCTGACCACGCCCCCGATTTCGTTGCCCCTGATAACCCTCCTCCCACTCAGTTTCCTTTTCTTCTTCTACTTTTTCCTACAAAAAACCACCCCTCATATTCCATCGTTCTGTTTCCAGTGATGACCGCTACCACTTCTACTTCCACGTCTTCGCACCGATTCGCATCGGAGCCACGTCCACCAACGCTCACCAAACGTCGTGATGATCGTATTCGAAACTTTAATTCCTTCGATGACATCACTGAATCCGAAGAAGAAGATATTCAGGTGAGGAAGAAGTCTTTTCATTTGAATGGGGGTGAAGAATTCCTTGTCTTCTAAAAAAGCATATCTAGAAAAAAAACTTCCCGGATCCAAAATACACAAAAAACAAAGAACGCAAAAACAGTTGCAGTACCTCAGCAACCGTTTATATGGCCTTATTATAAAAAATCAGATGTTTTTTTTTCTAATCGTAAAATCATAAGTCATTTCATCAGAATTCATAAAAAGTAAAATTTTTCTAAAATTCACTAAAAATTAGATTGGGAAGTCTTCTGTAGAAATCTTGATTTTTATAAGGATCAAAGGTTATGGGTCTTCCTTTCCAGTTCCTTGTTTTGAAAAGACACCCTAAATGATTGTTTACCAATCAAAGACAATACAGGGGGAAGGATAGAAAAGAAGAAGAAGAAAGAAATTCATTATCTATTTGCATGAAGACAATGAAATGAAATGATATTGTCACCTCAATATATACACGTCATTTTGTGTATGAAGTCATAGATACAAAAATGTAACAGAAGCGGAAATAATTGTGTTTGATTTCAGGAACCAACCAGCAGCAACAGTTCCACCACTTCTGAAAGATCTCCGTATGCAGTTTACGAGCAAGAGAAATTGAGTTCAGCCAAGATCAGAAGCTTCTCTCTTACCAACAATCCATTTTTGTCTCCAAAGGCAATCAGGTAAAAAGAATTACTGTAGACAACTGTCCGACACCTGATACTTTAAATCCTCTGATCTCTGGAAGAAAACTTCTGAGAATCACCAACACAAAAAACCTTGAAACTCGATACTTTTCTTATCTTCCAAACTTCCGTTTTCATTTGCGGATCTTTTTTCCTATTATTTTTCAAGTGATGTAAGACTCTTAAGAATGTAATGAGATCCCATTCTTAAGAATCCAGTAAGATTAGCGTTATCAGAATGTTTATATTTTGATTCCGAGAAGAAAAAAGCGAAAACATTATGAAGAGCTTCAAAACAAAGGTCTTTTTATTTTCAGACAATTCTTCCCACCAACTCCTCGTCTTTCTCGAGGATTCTCGGATCCGGTTGTTCGTCGTAAATCGTCTCTCCCGACAATTCTCTCGTGCCACTCGCCGGACCATTCTGATGACTTCTTGGGTCTTCCACCAATTCCAGAAGCTACAACTCCAGCTTCTCCATCTACAAATGCTCCAGCTAACAATCCTTTCCAAAGAAATGATTCGTCATAATTATTGAATTGCCTCCTCTTATTATTTTTATTCCTCCATTTTCCCCAGTTTCAATTATTTGACAATGCGAGTAAATGATCATAAATAAATGGTATTTTTTATAATCTTCATCCGGGATACAAAAGAAAAAAAAATGAACAGTTTTAAAAAGATATACAAGAGAGATCAGAAACCAAATTTCAAATTTTCGAGAATCACTTTCCAACTCCTAATCCTGTTCCCACTCCGACTCCATCTCCAGTTCCTGGTGCTTTTACTCCGACTCCTCCATTGATTCCCACAATACCACCTCCTTTAGCGTTTGGATCATCCTGTCCACGACGGAATGCTTCAGGAGTCTTTGATCCCATGATACCAAGATCCAGTCCAACACCGACTCCCACACTCTCTCCCATTCCAGGAATTGGTCCAACATCGACTCCCCATCCAACTCCAACTTCCAATCCTGGAACTGCTCCAACTCCAAATCCAAAGTGACCGTTCACATCAACATGACCAACTCCCTTGTCTGTAAGTGGTGGTCCCATTCGTGGTCCAGGAAGTCTGTGGAAGTTTGGAACGTTACAGAAAGCGGCGTAGTCCTGGAAACATTAATTTGAGTAATTTCAATGAAATTTTAATATATTACTTTGCAAAACTCGACAAGATCAATGCGAAGTGGCTTGCTTGGAGCACATGTGTAGGCGAACATTGCCTTCATATCCGAACAGTATTTGCCGTCCTTTGGATGAAGTCCCGGATAGACACGATAGACTGATGGATCATGACGTTGTTGGTAATACTGAGTGTAAGGAGAACCGTAACCGTAATATCCACGATGAGATTTACGGTGCTTCTTGCGATGTCTTCGTCGAGAATATCGTTCTTCGTCATAATCACTAGAGGATGGTGGGGATCTGACGTTATAAATGATTTTCGGGATTTTTAAAAATTCAACTTAAATTTAAAACTTTTTTTCGTTTTTAATGGGATGACTCACAAGCATCAAAAATCTTTTTTGATTGCTCCAGAATAAGCAAAAATACCGTGAACACTCTACAGTGTACAGTGCTTCTAATACAGTGCGTTGCAGGTTCTTACGTCCACCCATGTTTAGGGTCATAACTTGAGAGCTGTTAGAGGTATCGGTTTAATTCTTTGAAAATCAGATTTGGAACAACATTAAATCTAGTTGACAATCTTTGTAATGAACCCTTGAAAACTACCCGATTTATCTGGAAAAGTCTGAAAATATGCCTTTTGCAACCGTTGCAAGTTTATACATCCACTCCAAAGATCAGTAGATCACGACCTCCAGCGAAGACGGAGGTCTCCAATTTTGATTCTGTGCAACTAAAATCACTATAAAAAGTTGTTTTCATTACTTGTTTCTCTTTCTTTGAGTTTGTATCATGTCATGGGGTCTTTTGCCGACTGATGCTGGAAAAGCTTCAACAGGAGCAGTTGGAGCAGCTGGATGGACCGAAAAGCTCTCAGGAAGCAACTAAATCATTCACACTGTCATATCGACTATTCTCTCATACGAAAATTAACGAAAAAAACATGATCAGCTCAAATACTGCCCTCAAGATCCTAACCCTCTACAAGTACTGTCGTTTTAATTTTAAAGCCTTTGAAGTCGTGTAATGGTATCAACCAAGTGCTGAAACTTGAAGTCATCAAGTGGACGGGTTAGAGATGTCTCAAAGAAGATCCAGGCATCAAAAGAGCAATCATGGTCCCAGCTCCGACACCTATCGACGATCACAAAGTACATTGTCTCCACTTATTTCAAAAGTGCATCGGATCCAACTGGGGGAAGGTGTTAAGGTTTAACATGATCTACCAAAATAACGTTACATGAATGCTTTTCATCCTAAAAAAGTATCTAAAAAATTATCACCGTTTATACCACTAGCATTTTATTATTTGACAAATTTCGAGTATCTTTTATAGGAACCGAGATAATTGCCCAATAAATAAAACAACAGATGATCCGTCTTCGGCACGATTCAACCTAGTTCTTACTCGTTCGTCCTTAGTTTTTCACTTTTTAATGGGCTACGTAAATTTAGTTTCAATTTTCGAGTTTTCTTTTTAACTTTTCACACGTTACGCAATAAACCTTTAAATCAATCAATATTAGGTCACGCCATCTACCTCTCTCCACGGTGAAAAAAATCCACGTATTGAAAAAAAAAAACATTCCTTTGGGAAATCCCACTTTTTGAATTAGTTTGATAATTTTCACTAGCACTTTTTGACTGCCCTGAAGCTCCCTGCGTAAGCTGTTTATTGTTTCATTTGCTTTTTTCTTTCGATCGGTCGGATGCGAAAAAAGTTATAAAAGACCCTAAGGGTCGCCATGTTTGGTGGTTCATGGCTAGGTGAATTCATTTTCACTGAACGTCCCCCTTTTGCAAAAGACCAATCAAAGAAAAAAGAAACAAATGAACTAGACAATAAATAGCGATCGTATAGCTTTTTAGCAGTGAAAAAGAACTATTGAAAATTGGAAAACTGTCTCCCCGGAGACAGGGGTTTTGTGTTGGTGTTTTCCCCCAGGGAAAACCCATTTTCCCTTTCTTGTACTGAGCCTCTACGTGGCGAAAGGGATCAACAGACGAAAGTCTGGCTAATCAGTACACTTGTGAAACTTGTCATTTTTCATAATTTTTGTTGATATTTTCAGGAATATCTATATTTGAAATAATTTTTCAATAAATACTTTTTAAAAATCTTCCATTTCATTTTTTTACTTTTCCAAGCCCGTTTCCAAGAAGGAAGAATCAAAATTGGACGCCTCCATCTTTGCTGGATGTCGTGATCTACTGATCTTTGGAGCGAAATCAACTTGCAACGGTTGCAAAAGGCATATTTTCAGACTTTTCCAGATAACTCGGGTAGTTTTCAAGGTTTCATTACAAAAATTGTCAACTAGATGTAATGTTGTTCCAAATCTGATTTTCAAAAAATTAGGCCGATACCTCTAACAGCTCTCAATTTATGACCCTAAACATGGGTGGGCGTAAGAACATGCAACGCACTGTATTAGAAGACCACCCAAAGCTTCAACTTTCAGCACATTTATATCGATTTCTGTTGAAGTTATCAAAAAGTGGTAACTGTGAAAACATTTTTGATATCACGATAAAAGTTTTATCAGTTGACCAATTTTTTATATTTTTTACATGAAACGAGATATATGCGCTCAAAGTTGACGGTTTGAGATGGCGTTCTATGACAAGTTTTATGGTAAATGCTTAGTTTTTGTTGTAACTTTTTGAACTCCTTTTCTGCTTCTAGTACAAAAACTACAACCAGTTCGACGAAAAAGTACCGCAAAACACTCTAATAGTAGGTCACCTTATCCTTTCTTAATTATTTCAACTTCTATAAGAGATATCAAAAATGTGTCAACTAATAAAATGTTTGTTATCACCAAAATGTTACTAGTTGACACATTTTTGATATCTCTTATAGAAATTGAGATAATTGAGCTCAAATTGCAAAGATAGGGTGATTTCCTATTAGAGTGTTCACGGTATTGCTATAAAATGGAAGAAAAGGTAAAAAAGGATAATTGCGACGGTTTTCTTTTAATGTAATAAATTTTAAACGAAAATACTATTCTTGAAGCAGTTTCTATCTCACCTAGTTGCAACTTCATCAAACGGATCGGCAACATCTGAAGATCCAGAAGACCTCCCAGTGTTTCCTTCTTCTTCAATGAAACCCTTGTTGGAATGCTTGGAAAGTTGTTCCAATCTTTCTGCAGTCAGCCCATCGCCATTGATGATTTTCGAGCTTTGCGCTCTATTGTTTCCATCTGAAAATCAACTAATTGTATCAGGTTCTTGATTACATCACCAATTGATAAATCGATGACAATGTTCTCTCTACAACGATTTTTACTCACTTGGCTGGCAAACCTTCAGGTGAGGCTCAGCTGCACATAGTTCAGTTTTCGAGAAGGATAGAAAATGTTCAGAGGGGCGAGCTGAAAAAAAGAAAAAAAGATTAGAAAATTCAGATTGAAAATTGTTCATTCAAAACCCAACAAGAAGGTTTTGATCTTCGAGAGAAGACAAACCACAGAGCGTTTGAGACTACAAGAACAGGTTGCCACATCACTCCTCTGTTAACAACTTCTGGATTCAGACTCACCATTCAAAATAGGCAATAAAGCTAATAAACATAGTAGTTTACCATCATGCGGTATTGACCGCATTTTTGTTTTAAAAAAATGATTGAATGATCGAAGAAACTATTGCGAGAGAAGATGCGGCCCTATCAAAAGGTATGTGTCTAAGTCTCCAAATTCTTTGACGTCTTCTCTAGGTTATCATTGTTTTGTGATGAAGTCAATCACTGTGTGTGACCATTATCAGCCTTGTGTAACTTTTTTAGAGTGAGAAAAAAACGTCGTCTTGTCTACGAAAACTACGAAACCAATGGAGGTAGAAAATGGTTGGGAATGAGAAATTATTTGAAAAATTTCCTTTCTTGTTATAGTGATTCCCAGATTCAAAAATGTTATTATGAACACGTTCGGAGGACTAATAGGATCCTTCTGGACAGTGGTTTGAATACCAAGCTGTAAGTGACGAACGTTCCAGATTGGATTTGAGGGTTATACTTGAATAAGGGAAGAAGCTACATTGGGATTATTCTGATTTTTTTCACTAACAGATGCTCTTGGCAATATATTCGAATAAAGGTTTCCCTACATTAGTACCAGATTACCGTATTTCCTCTAAAAGAAGCTCGCCCAAACGGTCAACTTTGAGCTCAATTTTCTCGATTTCTGTACAAAATATCAAAACTTTGTCAACTGATAAATTATTTAGCATAACATCACAAATATTTTACCAGTTGACAAACTTCTGGTATCTTTTACAAGAATCGAGATAATTAAGCTCAACGGTCGATGATTTGGATGGGCTTCTATTCGGAAATACGGTAACTTGAGATATGCTTTCACAAAAGATTTGGAGATTTGAAAAATGAAAGAACATTACATATCGCACGAATAACTTCCTATCCGTGAAAAAGTACTAATGGAAATCAACCAAGTGGAAATAGTGATAAAAATTATATTTAGAAGATCTAGATAACTTTAAAATTTCAGGTCATTTCAGAGGCTAATATTTCATTTGGATTACTGTAGTTTCCTTGTTTGCTAACTGTATTTAGATGATGTAATTATTGTAGATGATGTTAAACTTATTGCTTCTTGATTTTTTTTTACTTGTTTTACCATTTCCAAATCGACAAGTAAAGTGATTTTCTTAAAGTATTCATAACTTTCTGGGTGTAGATCGCAAATACACTTGCATACGGTCATGATTAAAACTGTGCGGGAAAACCGTGCACAGCTTGCAATTCAGGCTCCGTCCCTTTCCCCGGGAAATTCTGTTTTCTGTAACATTTCTTCCTCGGAATCTAGATGTAAGGCCTATCCTGCCTCAGCTGCCCGAAATTCCGGAGAAAAAAATTTCCGGGGAAAAAAAACTCCGGAGAAAAGTGGGCGGAGTCGGGGGAAAGGAAAAAATTCCATAATTTTTGAGGTACTGTTTAAAGGCGCATGCATTCATTTGAAAAATACCGTAGTGTTCTCTTTGCGGGAGCGAAGCTCCGCCCGCCGTTGTTTTTTCTCGGCTGCAACGTGCATTGATAACAAAACTGATTTCTTTATACATTGAACAACCAAAGATTAATTGTAAAATTCCGAAATTTTATTCATCTAACAAACCATAGTCGTATAACAAATCATGACAATAAAGTTAACAAAAACAATGATCTAATGTCCAAATCTAAGAGAAAATTTGATAATGCACGGTACGTCTTTACTGTTTGATTCTTGTGAACTGCTT